ACACACACACACACACACATACACACACAGACAGCCTGTTAAAACTGGGGAATGGGAACAGGATGTTCTTTGGCAGTTGCCAATTGCTTTAAACCACACATAAAGAGTCAGCCAGAAACAAATTTAGACTTATTTATAGAGCAAAGGTTTGAGGAAACGCATCCAGAGGGAGCAATCACAAACCCTGAGTCTGTGTGAAAAGTGTAATGTGTTGAGAGCGAACGCCCTGTGAGTATTAAAAACAGCTGGAGAGGGTGATGAAAAGATTTCCTGCTGGAAATGGAGAGTTGTGTGTATGGATGCACAGAAAAGACGCACAGGAGATCTATCTCAAAATCCATGCAGTGCCACTGCAGAAATCAATTTATTTATATGTTATTTATTTAACTTTTTTTATATGCACACAATATGAAGAGCCAATGTCATACACAGAAATAACAATTTACTTTTTTCTTTACAAGTATATTTTCTGTTTCATTCAGTCACACGCACACACATTTCCACACACTCATTCTCACAGAGACCCTTAATTACAAATTATTTCAAATTGTATTTGTCCCATTATAATGTGCACTCTTTTTTGTCTTTTTGTCCTTTCTTGACATAGTTACATCATTTAACATCTCTTTCCTTCATTCTTTGTTCAGCCTGTTAGCTTTTGTTCAGGGGATCATTACCATGGCAACGCACTAGAGAAACGGTATTGACAGCTGAACAGGCTGCATGGTTAACTTTGAAGCAAATGGTGACAGAGAAAAGGGGCCATTTGTGATGTAATTCCACAGAATGAGAGGAGGGGAAAAATCTGAGAAGAAAAAAAGTACAATAGAAAATACACAACAAAGACACAAACTGACAGAGGCAACTTTGTAGTTAAAGTGGTGCAAACTTAGAGGCGACTCCAGAGACAAGGATGAGCACTCACTTGTGTCCATTTAAGAGTCTTGACAACATCCTGTAATGTTGCTTTTACAGTCGTCTTCCCACATATTTTCTCGAGTAATGTGCTCATTATTTGTTGGTGTACGTTTAATGGATTTCACCTTCCCTCCTGACAGACCAGAATTTAAAACAAGAGTCCATTCCATCCCAGTCACATGACTACAGGCATTATCAGGACACATCGAGGGATCTTTTCTAAAGCTTTGTTTGTGTGCTTTTGTCAATTTCCCATAAGAAAACATTTCACATGCGCTAAAAGTCTCTAAAACATACACACTGTACATGAAATCTACACATATCTTAAAGCTCTTGTTACATTTATAAAGTAAAACTCAAAACGGCAAAATCCAAGATGAATGAATCAGTGTTTATACTTGCACAAGTTCATTCACAAGTCAGTATGAAAACTGCTCATCTTTATACATATAAAAACAAACAAACAAGGGAGGGAACAAAAGTTTTGTTAGTGCGTTAATCATGATAAATACGTAAATCTCTCCATTTTGAATTCAAAACTACATCATTTAAGCAAAGTACAAATAAATTGTCATCATTATGATAATGGGGATTTAAAAAAGGAACACAATTAGGTTGAGAGAGAGAGATGAATTACAAAACAGAATCGGCAAGAACAGAAGTGAGAGAAAAGGAAAAAGTAAGAAAAGAGCAAAGAAGAGAACAATGGGCAGCGTAATTGTACTAAATGACATGTTGACCTTTTCCACTTCCACAGGGGACCAAAGAAAACAAACCCAAAGAGTGAAGGGAGAGCGGAGGGAGAACAAATGAGAAGAAGACCATGAGGCAAAAAAAGAAAGGGCGAGAGATGAAGGGAGCTGCTCGAGCACGAGGGGAAGGAAGCACAATATTCACGTTCGAGATGTCTGACCTTTGGAAAGTGAGCTGGAGAGAGGGACGGCAGTGAATGAGCTGATATACACGTTAGCATTCGCACATAAAAGAGGACAGGGCGGCTCGTTTAAATTAGCATTGCGACACGGCATCCAAAGGCGTGCGTGAACAAATGAATTGTGTATAAGTGCTAAATAAACACACTTGGGCGAGCTTGTCGGGCCCATAAAGAGATTCCTTGAGAACACTCAAACTTGTGCTGAGTTAGAAACGCATGCTCGGGAAGGAGACGAGACAATATCGCATTTTCCTTTTATCTCGCTCACACACACACATAAACAGCCTCCATCTGCGTATGTGCGAGATGAAGAGCCTGGCTGATGATCACTTGGCAATGGCGACCAGACAAAGTGGCCAATATGCTCACTAATGGCCTGTCAAACAGATGAGAGACAAACTCCCACAGAAACCTTTGCACCTCTCTCCTCCTGGACCGCCTCTCTCTCTCATTTCCCTCCCATCTTCCACACTTTCTTCATTTGTACTAGCCTCCTTCTTCAAATATGAAGACTTAGTGGAGATTTGGCCTCGGCATGTGTGTTTAGCGTATTAATTGCGTGTTAAACAATAAGAGGGAGAACGGAAACGGACTTTGCTGACAGAAGGAACCATTCCATCATTTCATTGTCGTACACAGTCCTCCATTAATTCATTCCCTAACCGGTGGCAAGATAATAGGATCCTTGATTAAGTGTCATTTTTTTTGTCAGAACCGAAGTGTGACTCACAGTATTGAGTCAGTGCAGGGGTGAGCTGAGATCCGACAGCTGGGGTGTAAAGAAACTTCAAGGCCTGATGATAAAGAGATTGTCATATGGAGGGCAGGACTTACAGCACGGCCACACAACAGTGCGACTTTTCTGCCAAATTAATAAACAGGACAACAGAAAGCTCTTTTTCAGATTTGCAACAACCACTGTCCTTGTTGTTTTCCACACCATAAGTCCCATATTGAAGTCTTTTAAACTTTTTTTTTTTTTTTTTTTTCTTACATTTAAATTGGACTTTTTGTGTGGTTACTTGCTTTCTCGCTCTTCGCGTGTTGGCCGAATTTTCATTTCTGTGAATTTTAGCGAGTACTGCCACCCGGTCCAGGACGACCATTCAATCCCGTCGGCGTAAGAGGTGTGCTGTCCGCGCAGGTACTGGCCGTTCAGGTTGGACGTGTGGCAGTTGCGGTACCACCAGGCACCGTGGTAGAATGAAGCACAGTTGTTCTCAGAGTGATCGTTGTCTCTGTCTTTTGTGGTGAACTTCATTCCATTGTGCTTAAGCAATGAATCTCCTGTGTACGGGTGCACACAAAAATAAAGGGAAAACAGCAGAAAGATAATTAAACTATTGTTCAAAAAATTTGGGGGCAGTAAGATTTTTTCTTTTGAAAGAAATTAATACTCTTTTTCAGCAAGAACACTTTAATAAAAGATACAAAAGTGACAGTAAAGACATTTATTTATTTTATTTATCCTTTATTTAGCCAGGATAATCTGAAGGGGAGAATCCCTGGCCAGGAGCCAGGAGAATGCCATTGAGACTTCACAATCTCTTCTTTGCAACAAAATTTAAAATTTTACAAAGGATTTATATTTTTAAAAATGCTGTTTTTTTTTACTTTCTGTTCATCAAAGAATCTTGAATTTGTTTTTAATTACACTAAAAATTTAAGCAAAAGAATGTTGAAAAATATTGAATATTGATACTAATAAGAAAATCAGCATATTAAAATGATTTCTGAAAGATCATGTGACGCTGAAAACTGGAGTAATAGCTGCTGAAAAATTCAGCTTTGCCTCCACAGGAATATATTATATATAAAAAAATATATATATATAAATTCAAAAAGGAAAGCTTTCAAAATATATTTTTAAATAAGACAAGAAATTATAAACAAAACTATTTAATGTATATAAAAATAATCATATAGATGTTCTGGGATATGCAGACAATTACTGTATAGTAATTCATAGTTTCTACGTAAATATAAATATAAAATTAAAAAATATATATATATATATATATATATATATATATATATGAAAATGTTATTTTAAATTGTAATAATAAGTATTACTGTTTTTACTTTATGTTTAATCAAATAAATTCAGCCTGGGTAAGAGACTTTTTTCAAAACATTTTAAAAATCTTACCGACCCCAAACTTTTAAATGTTAATGTGTGTTTAAGTTGCAACAGAGCTGATTTGTGTGATTCTAGAAATAACGCTGTGAAAATCATCACAAAAAGCCATTTCACACAAACAACTCTAGATGAATGCCCATGAATACATGAGACGAGTTAGCATCCACAAGCAATCTCGTCTCATCTCTCTCAAATAAAAGCATTTTCAGCATTTTATCTAATTTGGGTGTGATTTATGCATACAGTGTTTTGCTTTGCTCCTGTCACCTTCCCTCACACTTCCATAAGACCTTAACATTTTGCATCGGATGACTCACTCTGCATTAAATGATTTCTCATCATTGCCTTTTTGACGATCCTCTTTAAAGAACTCATGCGCAAACGCGTATAGGTGCTACTCCATAATTAGCTGAAATGTGTTAAGTTATGTGTTACTGTATGTGTTAAGTTACACACTCTATGCTGTCTGGAACATGCAGCTGAACCAGTACTTTATTGGCTGATGACATTGAAGTGCACACATAGTACACATGAGTACTACATTAATATAAAGGCAACTACTGTAGATAATTCCATGTATAAAGACCCATTTATACCAATAGGCAAGCTTGACATTGTAAAGGCATACAATTTAAATAAGGTTGGAAATACTTTGTTTTCTCTTATGTTCAACAAGGCTGCATATATATGACCAAAATACAGCAAACAGTAATACTGTAAAACTTTTGATCATTTAATATGTCCTTGAATAAAAATATTAATTTCTTAAAAAGAAAAAAAAAATCTTACTGACCCCAAACTAGAAATTAGACAATTCTGAAAAGACACATTTCAACTAATTTCAGTAGTGCTTTTCACTTTTTCACTTTCACACCATAGAAAGTTACAAAACAAGTACAAAATATTAATGAAATGAAATATGCTGTAAGAAAGGAGAGCTAATAAATATGACAGACAGATAGATAGATAGAGACACACAAAACTGTATGCACTACACAATATTTGCCTTAGTGCTTTTGACAGAATAATCAGGATTAATTTAGGTTTTTGTTTTTTTTCACTGAAAATTTCCACCTCGTACGACCTCATAGGTCCCCAAACCTCAGCTTGAAAACCCCTGGTCTAAAGCACACAGTGGCATTATGCATTATTGTCTTTCCAATTCATTTCCAAAATATTCAACCTATATTTACTGCCTATTCTGTAATCAAAGGGTAAAAACATGCCATCAAATGGTTGAAGCATCACCCATGCATGCATTAATTTCTATTTTAGTAAAAGGGTTTGACTGAACTACAATGGTACATCAGTAGATAATCAGAAAAGAAAGCTGCAGCACATTCATGCCATTATCATTCAGAGATATGTGCATGAATGTGCTGCAGCTTTCTGTTATTTTGAGAAGTAAAGAAGATTTGTATCTTGCAGCTTCTTTTTATTACAGCCATTGTGTCAGGCAAGTATTTCGAGATCCACAATTCTTTCAGAATTCTGTGGGGCAAGGGTCAACTTGTGGGTCAATGACAAGTCTTCTTCCCTCAAGAAGTGTCTTGTAGCATCAGTCTTATCTGATGGCAACAGACATTGGGTGTGGTGGGCCAACAGAAACAAACCTTCACCATTTCTGTGGCTGAAAAGGGGATTTGTAAAGCCATCCTGCCTGCTGTCCACTTCACTGGATTTTCTGGCAGGAGGGCAGGTGGTGATGTGTCTGTTGCCCTATAAACTGTTCCTGTCAGCTTAACATGAACAGAGAATATAATCCAAACAGAGCTAGAACAAAGTGTTCTATGGAGATGGAGAGAGACAGGAAGAAAACGAAAGTGTACCAGAATGGAGTACAATAGCGGTAAATGTCAGGTGGTATTTCTAAACCACTATGGGATTTGTTCAGAACCAGTTTGAGTTTAACCTTTCATCCAGCTTAACATACAAGGGACGCTCCACAGAAAAGGATAACGTTTCCAGAACGAAAGCTCTAAACCGCCATTCCTCTTCTCTAACAGCCCATGACCTTGAAGATCTCCAATCTTCTGATCCACAGTCAGTTTAACTCAATAACGTCAAAGACAATACGCAGAGAAACGGATCCCAGACCGGTGCTCAATTTCCCAGCAGAAACGCGTGTCATTCAAGCTTGACAGATTTTGTCCGCAGCTATGGGAATAAGCCATTAGTCACACTAGGGTCGCACGGAGCCCACAGAAAATACTTGTATTGCTGCCGTTGACATTTCAGCATTAAGAGTGTTGTATCCAGACATGTCCTTGCAAACTCTCAGATTCGGTCACATGCTCTTGGGAATCACTTTTCCTTTGTCAAGGGGATACTATTGTCTCAGAAAGCCTTCAGGTGATGTGGTAATATCACATGTGACTCTCTAAAAATGCTCGGTATAAATGTGTAACCTGCATAAAACATACCGTATGTGCACAAACTTATGCGTGGGCTTATTTGTGCTCACATGCTGGCGTGAATAAGGAGTCACCTTGACGCTGTCTGTATTTTGAGACGTATTAGGCCCCACCAGGCCGGCCCAGAGCACAACTGCCTGTCAAAATCAATGCAAATGATCACAATAATATTCTCAGTGCTCTGATTAGGGGAGACCTGTCAGGCAGCAAACAGGAAACCCAGCATCTCAAGGGCATGAAGACGCTGCCCAGCAGAGACCACCTGCTCACCTGACACCAGCGCTACAGACACAATCCAATTCAAGCCCGGATATACCTGCTGTACAGACAGGAGATCTCTCACCTCTCTCCTTCATGCTCTCTTCATGGTGAATTTGTGTGTTTTCCTCTGCAACTGCCCTTGAGTTCAAACTCAGAATGCTCTTTCTATTTCTGTTTATCTCCCTACTCACTTGTTTCTTACAGGACTCTGAGGAGCTTTCCAATTCAGTTTGTGTCTGTTCTTGACATTTGTCTTAAGTCAATGGTAGTAATCGACTGGGAAGCATTTTGTGTGTGAGTTTGCGAGGACTGGGTGATAATATCGGATTTCTAAATAATCCCGACAATGATTGTTAAGATTCTAAGAACTTTTCTTTAATGGCAGCATTAAAAAAATAACTTGAGATATGAATGAGTTTGCAGTCTGTTATTAACGTGATGCAATAAAAAGATAGTGTACCAAAAAATAATGATAAGGAACGCCTTACTATTGTATGGTCCCTTGCAGACTGCATGCAAAAACATTCACATTACCAGTGTAGTCTGATTTATGAACAAATGAGCTGGTTCTTTTTAGTGATCAAAAAAGATACATTGTGACAAATATAGTCAGAATCATACTGACTATAGAAATCATTAAAATCAGCCGGTACTTTTTAATGAGCACTTTTTGTTTTAATCAAATCTGAATCAAATTGAGAGCTTGTGAATCAGAATCAAATTGAATTAGGGAATGTGTATTGATACCCAGCCTTAGTGTTTGTTTTTGTGTGGTGATTTGCAGAGGACGTGTGATAGAGCTATGTTTTGTTTGCGGCTAAGAAGTGACTAAAGAGTGAATTAAGTGCTATGATTATTCTGTCTATGCCACCAAGCACTGAAGTGGACCAATTATCTGAATGAATAAGCACTTATTATTGTTGACAAAGATTTAATCATGCTAACTGATTTGCATACCGGGTCTTTCAAAGTTAGTGTGATTTAAATAAGGCATACTAATTACACAATATTGAAGATATTGATCCATGGTCTGTAAATATGTAAATATGTGTATGTACCTGCAGTTCCGGTGTAATCAGCGATGGTGAGGGGGTAACCGTCATCCTCAGGATCAACAGAGAACAGTCCAACTCCAAACACACCATACTGTGCGAAAGCTGTGCTGTTCTCGAAATCTTCAAGATCTATGCGCAGTTCGTAGTTTCCTTGGATAGAGAGAGCATGGATTTGTTTCAACCCTGATGAGAGAAACAGAGAAAGGGAATTAATTTCAAGATTATTTTTAGTCATAGGAAATATAATTGGATTATGAGTGTAAAGTATGAATTAGGGCTGTGAATATTTTAATATTTTAACCGAAATAAATGTAGAGTCAATATAAAGTAGTTTTTTTTTTTAGATATTTGTTTAATAGCACTTTTTAAGTACTATTAAGTATTGTCAGGTCTATACTGCCAACCCAAATACCTTTGTTAAATTGATTTTTTTTTTGAGTATAAAATTACTAATTCCAACAATTTAAGAATATAAGAGTTTTATTCCAACCCTGCTTCAACACACATACCATGTAGTTCCCCTTCGGGAACTCGAGCTGCATCGGAAAACGCTAGGGGAACGCCTTCAGCGATACCAAGCTCTGAATCATATGTGTAATCAGTCCGGCTCTCGAGGGGGCCGACTGTCCGCATTGTAAGCAGTTGCCACTGTGTTTGCTTCGCTCCCGGAAGGCTCTCTTTGACCTGGTGGGCAAGGGGTACTCGGCAGCGGGTCAGGCTGGTGCGTATCTGCACACTATGTCAGTGTTACAGGCGTACCAAGCCGACCTGCTAAAAGAGCTAGATGAAGGCGAGCAAGTTAAAGCAGATGATATCTTAGAACTAAGGAGAACCGCTGATTTAGCTCTTCGCGCCACCAAGGAGACCGCCCGTGCTATTGGGCGGTCCATGGCAGACGTGTTTCGAGCCCTCAAACACTTTCTTCCAGACCTAAGAAATCGCCATGTGTTGGTGCGCACCGACAACACAGCGGTGGTCTTTTATATCAACTACCAGGGAGGTCTACGTTCGCGCCCCTTATACAAGCTGGCGCACCAGATCCTTGTGTTAATTGTATGTGTCCAGTGCGAGCACTGGATGCATACGTCCACAGAGCTGCCCTGTGGAGAAAGGCGGACCAACTGCTTGTGTGCTATGGTCCCCCTAAGAGAGGTCATCCTGCTTCCAAGCAGACCCTCATAGCAAATTTGGAGTCTCTATCTCAAACTCTCTAGCACCATCAATAGGCCAAATTTGCACATTTATGCTAATAATATTTGAACCGTAATATCTAAAAGCAAAATAATTTTTTCCTCTGATTTCTTCACTCATGCAGAGTCGAATGCATATCAAAATTTACATTTCTACAGGGCAAGATTTTTCACAATTTTGAATTTTCTTAAAAATCTACTTTTTGGAAATCGTCCTAGACGGTTTGTCCAATATTCATCAAAATTCAGATCATCTTTAGAGCATTCTGGTAAAAAGTTATCAAAAGCTTTTTGATATACCAAACCATTTTCGTAAAGCATGTTAACGAATTTAACGAAGTTTGTGCAAAAATGGACATGAAGCTATATCTCCGCAACACAATTATATTGATCCACTGTCCTCTCTACACACGTTAGCAATGTAAGTATTGATTCATTTATCCACACTTACACCTGTGTGGCTTAATCTTGGAGATGAATTTTCATCAACCAAGTAGCCAAACTCAAAATGCAACAGGCAAATAGCATGAGCATAAAATGCCACAGGAAATGGTGAAGAAAAAAAAAACTATGATCATAGCCTCCTTGAACAGAAAAACTGAGTCATCATTAATTATGTTAATTATTTGTAATGTGTTAAACAGCCAATATGAATCGCGAAAATAAACACATTATTTTTCCTATCTCTAGTGTGAATGTGTGGTTCATTTTCACTTCCTGTCGCCTGCATATAAAATAATGCAATAAAACACTGAAATGCTCAAACATCTATTATTATGCAGAGCAAATGCCTACTTTAAAAATTCATACATGGCTACTATGCATTAAAGCTGCATGGAAAACAACCAGGTCTTAGGGGAGATTCACTCTTTTCATATTTTGTTGTTTTTGTTCACATTTCCAGCACCAGACCCATAAACACCGGATAGAAAAAACCTTGCAAAACCATCCTCAGATATAAACTCTGAGTTGAATCATCAAAATTAATTTGATGTGTAGGGCGCAGTGTAACTACAAACATATGAGTATCCGCACAAGAAAATTGATAAAGAAAAGCAGAATTAATGAAAAAATTAGGAGGGAAACAGCAACAATCCATTAGTGCATACAAAACTGAGTCTCTTTATGGCTTCATTCAAAATATAAATAAAATAATTTATTTTTGAAAAGAGGAAAAGAAACCTGCTACTTTCACAAGTAATTTACATAATTTTTATTCAGGCTTAATTAAAACCCATGAGAGTTTCCCTGAGGCTCGTTTGAAATAATTAAACATTGGGAGTATTTTACGCCCTTTTTGCTTTTCTACCAAAGAAGGGGCCAAACAGGCAAGTCTGTGCGCATAAAACTCAGGTGTGCCAGAATTTTCAATTAAACATTATTGTGAAGACATTTCACTTAGCTGCATTTTGTCTTGAATTATCATACTGATTGCTCAATTAACAACTGTTTTATATATGATATGTTTTATTGAAGTTACAAAAGTGATTTAGTCAAGAGCAGTGAGAGACTTTCTCTCTTTTATTGTCTGATTAACATGAATGACAGACAGCAGGAATTTTAGACAGCTGTTATTTAAGAGCTGCCTGGATCCCATATACTGTTACACGTGTTTTCTTTCTCAGCTGTTTGCTTTCACTTAAGACCTAACTTACTGTGTTTAGTGGGACACTTGCAAAGACAGGCATTTTGACACATACAAGTGTGTGTATGTAACCGTTCAAAGCCTAAAGCGGCAAAAATAACTCTCTAATGAGTTCTTTTTCACAGCTGATTATGTTTCAACAGCTTAAAATCACTTGTTTTTTTAACTGCTATGCTTATAAACATGTGAAAAGGATAAGTTTTCATGACCACGTAGCACAGCAACGTCATGTGAGCGTGTAAGCACTATAGAAACGATAGTCCAAAATCTCTACCGGTTGACAAATTTCTGCCAGTTAATTGTGTCTACCGGTATATCGCCCACACAACAATTACATTAGACTAACCCTAATTCAAACTCTAACCTTAAAACACGTTTTTGCATTTTCTGAATCTAAAAAGATTTATCTGACCTCTGGGGACACATTAGCCCCCAACCCACAGCTAAGCCAACCCCCATGCACGCATATTTTGAAAGGGAGAGAGAAAGTGCACATGATAGATCATATATACTCTCGCTCTTCTACAGCACACATTCTATGCCTTCTGCCAGATGCCCTGCTATTGTGATATGGGCAGTCAACACCCATGAAGCCTGGGCAGTTCCTATTTGCCAGTAAACATAAATAGACACTGATATATTGAGCCAGAAAGAGGATTGTGTGTTGAGCACAAATTTAAGCGAGCAGCACAATAAAAAGCCTACGGGCATCGGCAGTCACACTGCACACCTGTGATAAATACCACTCTAAAAATGACATATTCCTGTAATTATGCAGGGAAAAATTGGGTCAAAGCTCCTCTAGGTTTCTATACACACACAAACCCACTCTCAACGAATACAGATATCATTCTAAAACAGGAAACATAAAACATTTATTCTAGATGTGCATAATAAACACGTTAAATTGTTAGTCATTTAAATAATAGTGCTATATTCCATCTTCTGCCAGCTAGACAGACAAAAGACAACATCTTGATTCTGATTAATGTGTTAATGTCTTCAATTTGCAGCTAATTTGAGTGATACAATTGTCTGGCTCATTAACAATTCATACAGACTGTGCACAGCTATACTTCTCTTTTTGCCACGGTAAAAGGTTCAAATATTAATGATTTATTTGCTTAGATTTGAAAAGTATGTTGGGAGGGAAACGCATTGAGCGGTTATATATATCCCTCAAGCCATTTTTCCACATTCACATGGTTTTACTCCAGGAAACAGACACAGCACTTGAATCATTACACTCTATCTTTTTTCTCTTTCTGTCCTCTTTCAGTGACATTTCTGCAAGTTAAAATATTCATAATGCTTTTTCTCTCTATGTGACTTTACGCAAAAGAAAAGGAAAGAAAGAAGAGGGGAAGGGGAAAGAAAACTCACAGGAAGCAACGTGAAGTGTGTGTTTGGTGAAGAAGAATGAACAGGAGGCATGAATAGTGCGATGGAGAGATGGAGGGCAGCGGAGAGGGCAGAAAGTGGAGGGGTGTCTTTGAACACATGTCTTTTCTCTCTCTTTCCCATCAAGACGAGAGACGAACGGAAAGGATTTCCCACAGACTTCAAAGGGAGAAGCTCAGGGGGGGAAAACGCAATTTGTGTGAGCTCACACACACACACACACACACACACACACACACGACTGAAGAGGACACACACAAAAAACACCAACGTGCTGACAAGAATCAAAGGTTTGTGATAAAAAAAAATCCACAAGTCCAGAACTTTTGGAAATGCAAGCTAAATATTAACCCGTTGTTATATTTCTGGCCACTCTTTGGCATTAACCTGATTTCCAAAAGCAGATTAAAGCAATATTATGGTTTGTAGAACAAAGAATAAAAAATTGAGAATAAAATAAAATGGTTGCAAATGCCTCTATTGATTTTGGGTAATTTAAAAACCTTAATGAAAATAATTACCATAACTGAACATTCATTTATAATCGTAGCATTTTTTTTAATAATATGTCAACATAAGTCAACATGCAACATGAGGACTTTTCATGCTCCACACCTATTGAAATCTTTTCCTATTTTTTTTACTATATATATA